CACGCGCGCGCACACATGGAGAGTGTGATTGCAAGAAGGACTCAGTGGGCGGTTTTTGTGGTCCAGATATCCGACACGGGCACGCACAGGTGCCGTAGCCCCGGGCAGTGCCGTCCCAGTCCCCGCGCTCTTCACACCTGTGTAGTGCAGGGCACCCCGCATCTCGCCACCTGATCCGCAGTGAACTCCAGCGGCGTGATCACCCGCTCAGGCAGGCACGCAATCCAGTCGCACCAAGGGCTGCCACCGCTGCCGCCGCTGCTGCCGCCTCCGCCGCCTCCGCCACTGCTGCTGCTGCTGCTGCTGCTGCTGCTGCTGCTGCTGCTGTCCCGGCGGCTGGCAGCTGCCTGGCGGCAGGTGTGGCGCTCTTGCAGCAGCCGCAACCCCATTTCAGCCGCCCAGTGAATGGTGAGTTCAGGATCTGGCTGAAAATATGCAGCATCAAGGACAGGCAACAAGGGCGGAAGGAACGGGATGTTTTGCTTGGTGGACGGTGGGCCTTTGTCAAGTTGACAGGCGCGTTCAGCATGCGCGCTGCCGAACGCCAATGAGGGGATGCCAATCAGGGAATGCAAGCGCAAGATCACGTGTTCACGGGTCTGCCATGTGCAGACGGTCAGCTGCAATTTCAGGGGATTGGCCGCAGCCAGACGCACCTGGCTGGCGAATATCCGAGGCAGAGGGACCGACAGCAAGACACCACCAGCCGGCACGTCGCAGTCTGCAACCAGGCCCCTGCCGCCGCCGCCGCCCAACTGATCACTGATGTGTACACGGACAGGATTGATGCCGTCGCTGGCAAAGCGCAATAGGCGGTCGTAGCGGCGCGCCGCCGGCGCCGCGGCAGCTGTGGCACTGTTGGCTGGGTCGGTGGCAGCAGCCTGCGCAGCCCTGCAGGCGGCCATGCGCAGGCGTGCAAGTCTCGTAACCCGCCAACTGTTGCGCAGCTGGCATGCTGACAATGCGGGCTGTGCCCGGAAAAAGCTGCGTCTCGACATGATCAGAGTCGCGAACGCACCGCTATGTTCAATAAATAAGTTGCAGACCTACGGCGCATCAAATATCCTCGCATTGTTTTAGGTCATCCGCATGGCCTACTGCACGAAACGGCTTGCTACAAGGGGTAACCCAGGTGACGCTTCGGTCGTGCTGCGCAAGCCTGAGTCAGATGATTGCCATATAATTGAAGACAGCAAAGCATCTGTACAAAAACTCTTTGTTGTTACTCATGCGTGCACATGTGGTTGTGGTGCGAGTGCTCTCAGAGTTCTACTGTGTGCATGCAGGTGTGGTCAACGATGTGCCCCGTGGTTTGACCAGCGGGCAACGTGCCATCACCACGACCCCTCTCCGCAGCACGTGAAATGAAGCCATCATCCCCAGCGCAATCTGGCACCGCGCAAGTGCTCACAAAGCAACTCGATTTTGTACGCATCCTGAATATGAGTGTTGTGCTAGCCAACGAATTCAAATGCCAGCAAAATAGCAATTCAGTGGTTGCTTTGCACGTCCGTGCCAGATCTCAGATCTTTGATAAGTTGAAAGCGGCGCGCCGCTCAAATGCTGCTGACAATGCGATGACCAAGGGTGCCATCCGAAATCAATTAGGTCCGCACATGACGTGTACGCCCGTCTTCAACGGCGTCCCAACGACCCAAAAAAGCCCCTGACCACGTTCCACAACGGCCCGTTGGGCAAGCCGCCCGGCGCGACAGAAGGCACAGGCGGCCGTGCCGCCGTGGGTGCCGCGCCCGCCACCGGCGCAGCCCCCGCCGGCGCCGTCGCCGCCGCCGGCGCCGCCCCCTTCAGCACCACGAACGGCGCGCTGAGGTTCCGAGGCACGCACTTGACCTCCGGCGGCCCCGGCGGCGGCGGCGGCTCGTCGGGCTTTGCTGCGTCGGCGGCGGCCTCCGCCTTAAACGCCTCCTCGTCCGCCTTTGGCGGCGGCGGCCGCTTCTCGGCCATCCACGCCGCGCTGACGTTCGCCAGGGCCTGGCAGGTGGGGCTCCAGGCGGCGCAGTCAAACATGAAGGCGAGGGCCTCCCTGCCGTCAGCATACCTGAGGAGAAGGTTGAGCCGGGGTTGAGTTGCGTTTGTTGGTGGGTTGGGAGTGGGGTGGGGTGG